AAGAATCAATGATGTCTTAAATTACTGGTCCTAATCCAAATTTATTTATGAGATAATACATGTATAATACAGATAATATGACTTCCCAAAAATTAAATTTCAACATCCAAATCAACAGACTAACAAAGCCCCAAGGACATTTTTCATATAATTCCAAAGTTATATAAGAGTATACATATTTATAACAATGGTTCTACATGGAGCTCAACATACATATTTATAAATAATAATTATATTTTTGAAGACTGTAGCTAAATAGTTTAGACCTATCTAAGACCTAGACAAACAGAATGATTAAAATTACAATCTTCCCAAAATAAAATATGGTGACTTTAGAATTCCTTATCTAGAACCTCTAGCATGAGAAAAGTGGATGCATTTCCTGTCACATCTGCTCACATACCACCATACGATCATCACAGCACATACACGCACAATCACACACAAGTGCAAGGGTAAATATGAAATATCATAAATGTATATACAACTCATACAATTCTCAGCAATTCAACACAAACTATTCAGCTCATTCCCAGCCCATCTAATGCAATTGTAACATTTTATACCCAACTCGTTTCATAGCCTAAGTATTTCAAAAGGAATTGTTCCCGGTCTAGGAGCGACCTATCTCATTATCTGAATCTAGACACAGCATAACTCAACATTTCTATTGTTACATGTCTAACCACCTAAACATATAACTCGGCTCTAAAATGATCAAAAAATCAATATGATGCAGCACAACTATATATTTATATATTCTCAGTTTCAGCGATATAGTTACATAGACACTATCATTCAGTCTCAACAGCACAGCTATATATATATAATAAAACTAAGTGGTTCACAGCACTAATCAAATATTTCAACATACCATTTTCTACCACAACATTCCAAACAATCGTCAAACAATAGAGGAATCCACTCAACCATACATGTTTTGGGTTCTAACCTAAGGTTTGCTCATACAACAAAATGTTTTCAGCTAAAACGAAGTTATCTATATAAATATCTTAGCATCCATCAAATGAACGAAGTCAACTCAGGTAAGCTCCCCTTACCTGAAATGGGTTTTCTTGGTTTTGAATCTTTGCGAGTCCCAACAAGAAAACAAGATTAAAGAGACTCAGATCTCTTTAATATCACAAAATAGAAGACTTTTGAGAAAGAAAATCAAGAAATAAGGAGTAGAATAGGAGAACCAAGTGCCAAAAACTCACCTAGATCCGTACTCAATGGATGTTTCCACTTGAATTGGGAGGAAGTTCAACTTCGGGAAGATGTTTCACCTAAAATTGGTGAAGTTCTTTTTAGGAACCTTTGGTTGATACAACTAGGGGTGTGCAAAAAATTCATATTTAATGATCAAATCCATAACTAAAATAAATTAGATTTAAAAATCTGAATTATTTTAAAAAATTAGACATCCAATCCATTTTTTCTGGTTGAGATAAATTTTGGACTTCATTTAATAAAACTAGTTTTAATGTTGAAAAACCAGTTTTCATGGAAAATGGTTTGCCCCAGGTCCCGACATAGCACCCCTATACTATTTATGCTAGACAGTTTCAAAGAGCGGTTCGTTCCAAATCTCTATTGTCAAATAAAACATATAAGGTAGAAACTGCTCAGACGATGTTCTCTTGCTCCCTCGAAAAGGCAGTTTCACTCGTTTTCACTTTCGGTTCCGTTAATATCTACTCTTTTTCTGTTTATATTATATTATATTATATATATATATATATATATATATGGGGAAGGATCTTCTTACACTCAATTTGAACCTTTCATTTAACTTATATCTAATGGCTAGTAAAGTACTAAATTATAACCGTTAAATGTAAGTTAAATGAAAGGTTCAAATTTGGTGTAAGAATTTTTAAACTTACACCAATGTAAAAAGATCCTGTCCATATATATATATATATATATATAAAATGCATTTTTTATTAAATATATTTTAAAAATTATTTTTTTAATTATTTTATGATAAGATAAATTTTATATCTTATAATAATATTTTAATATATATATATTTCTATGCTAAAGAAGTATATTATTAAAATCAGTTTTAAACTATATCTACGTTTAAAAACCAGTTTTTAGAAAAATAATATAAATTGGCTTAAAATTCATTCTACATAATTAGATTTAAAATGTATTTAGATTGGATTTATACAAATCTAATCTATGCTCACCCTTAGATACAACTCATTCAATCCTTAATCAACTTTAACTTGAATTTATTTTGTACCTTGTTGGTTTTGTCCACTTTTGGCTATATTTTTGTAATCATATAAATGTTGTGAATGAATATTGTAAAGTTTTCTTATGTATTTATTTAGTTTGTTTAGCAAGTTGATTTTTCTACATTATTTACTTAAGCTTATCATAATTCGCTTAAGTGCACCATGTTTTGCTTAAGCCTTTTCACAAAAATTGATGAAAATTAGTCTCTAAGGCAATATTCACTTAAACTAAACTAGACATATTTAAGTGTTCTTTATCTATTTTTCACTTAAACCAAAAAAGGATCACTTAAGCTATTATAATTTTGTTTAAGCAAATAAAGTTTAGCTTAAGCAAATATGAAGTCTACAATGATATGTTTATTGTTATTTTTTGCTTAAGTCCTTCCTTATTTGCTTAAGCATGAAATGTATTCACTTAAGCAAGTTGATATTTGCTTAAGCCAAATTTCTTGTCCCTTTCCCCAACTTTTTCTGCAAAACTCGCTCCATTCTCACACAAGGCGCTCAAGCTCAAAATGGCTTAAGCAGACAATTGTTCATTTAAACAAAAATTAAAAAACATGTTTAATTTCACTTAAGCAAATAAAAAATTGAACATCCAATTCCCGTGCAAACTGAAGCAGCATATCCCTTGATGTGTCATGTTTTTGCCAATTTTCTCGCTAATCTATTAGATTTAGTATACAATTACTCACAGTGACATTTACAATTTGCACATAGATATATTAATCTATTAGATCTCAATTTGAACAATCTTGTGACATTCTTATTTTAGTCAATATAGAATAAAGGTTATAAAAATATATGTCAATGTATGTTAGGTGCTTATATATAATTAGTTATGTTTGGCTTTGGCTTGAGTTTTTATTTATTAAACATACGGACTTAAATAATAATTTACAAATATTAATGATACATTTTTTAATATGCTCTTAATTATTAATTAAAATTTATTAAAAAATTATGTGACTCATCTTTCTTTAATAATTCTTTCTTTTAATTTAATTATTTTTTTACATTTGTATAATTTTTAACAAATTTTAGTTAATAAATAAAAGTGTGGAATAAAGAATATGTTAAAAAGTGTGATAGTATATATTAATCAAACAATTTTTTACCTTCAGCTGAAATCTAGCAATCCCAAGCAAGCACATAAGGGCCGATTGATTTTGAAAAAATAAGTTATTTAAAAAAATCAAAATGATTATTAATTCATTGATTTAGTGTCAGACAACATTCTCAATTCTTTCCAGAAGATACTAACTATATTTTATTTATTGCTTGCCTTGATGTTGGAGAAAGCAATCTATCCCATCATAAACGATTTTATTCACAAAGAGGAGTAAGAAGGAAAAAAAATTGAAATTGAAAGAAAAACGCAACTTAAAAAAGAAAAAACACATAATGAATCAACCCTACTTTAGCATAAATGAGAAAATTTAGCCTTGGTGTAGGAAAGAAACAGCGATCACTTGCACTTTGGAAGAGTACCCACATAAGCACTTATTATGAACGTAGGAATACACATCATGATCATGACTATTCACATTGTCACACCATTTGGAATCTCACCACACAGCCTATTAAAACTCATGTTCAATAATAACACATTTTCTATTCTTAAAGGGAGGTTCCCATAGATTGATTGTGACTCACATTCACCATTGAAATTATCTTAGGCAGCTCCACTATGCCAAAATCAAATGCAAACGAGTTCTAAGAAAGGTAAGAAAGGTCTCTTGCTGCTGTCACTTTGGTGGACCCAAAAAGCATGGAGGCATCCCCTTCAAATTTGTTATGTGATAGATAGATAGATGACAAATTCAATTTTACAAAAGACAATGGGATTCTTTCAGGGTTAGTTACGAGACAGGGATAAACTTTAGTGGTTCTTGTTATTTAAGAACTCATACGAGTGAGGGATTGGGCCTATTAATTTGTTATTGCCACAGAAGATTTCTGTGAGATTGGGCAATTGGTAAAGAGATTGACGGAGTGTCCCTGAGAGGCTGTTAAAGGAGAGGCTGTTAATTTAAAAAAATCCATATTTTTATCATTTCTTAAATTAAGCATTTAATTAAAAATAGTATAAATATTTATTATTTTAAAATATAAAATAACTTAAATTATTCTTTTTCTTTTTGTCGTGCTTTAAAATTATTCTTAGACCGCAAATTGGGAAGGGGTATGCACAGCTTGGCCATTTGCTTATTTTAAAACTTTTTTAAATGTGTTTGTTTAAGTTTATAAATACACTGAAATTATAACTAATCTTATAAATATGACTAAGTGGAAAAAAAAGGTACCCACAGCCGCATCTTTTGTGATTAGCAATAAAGAAACGTGAGGCGTGAAGCAAATGGTAAATGCATGGTAAGTGAATTGGTCATATTCTAGGGATATCGAGTTGAAACAAAGTTTGAAATTTAATTATATTTTAATCAGATATCAAAATCACAGTTTTTAGTATAATAATTGGCTGGCAGTTTGAGAGAATATAAATTCCTTTGACACCCCTCGATTATATTCTCATTGCCATGAAACAAACGGCAGTGCTCACAAATACGGCTACGAGCACACATGCTTTGACTTCTCACTTTAGCTGTTGCAATTTGCATGGCATTGCAATTTCATGCAATGCCATCATGTAACACCTTCTCACCTTTGCCTCCTAATCCTAACACTATATAAAGCAACACAACCCCATCTATTTTCCTCATCCCAATTTCAATTGAAATCTCACAGAAAATGAGCAAGGCAATAACACCAATCCTGTTACTCCTATTCACATTGCTCTCTCATACCACCCCTTCTCTCTCAGAAAGATGCCACCCAGAAGACAAAAAAGCCCTTCTCCAAATCAAAGAAGAACTCAACAACCCAACCCTTCTCTCCTCATGGAAACCAGATGCTGATTGTTGCCACCTAAGCTGGTACGGTGTCGGTTGCTATGCTGATCATAACCGTGTTGACTCTTTGACTATACAACACAGCGACGACATTGTAGCCCAATTTCCACCTTCCATTGGGAACTTACCATACTTAGAGTCTCTATACATTTCGAGTTTTCCATATCTCACTGGCCCAATACCTCAATCCGTATCGAAACTCACCAATCTCAAATTTGTCACAATTACCTTTACCAACGTATCAGGCCCAGTACCCAATTTCTGGCCCTCTAGTAAAGGCCTCGTTAATTTGGATCTCTCGTTCAATAGCTTTTCTGGAACACTCCCTCCCTCACTCAACAAGTTCCTGAATCTCTCATGGATCTACTTTAACGACAACAAGTTAACAGGACCAATCCCTTATTCGTATGGGTTCTTCAATGACAAAAACCCACCCGATTTATATTTCTCTAACAACCAACTCTCGGGGTCACTCCCACTGTCCTTGGCAAGGTTAAACTCGTCCCTTTTTGACTTTTCTAATAACAGGTTTAAAGGTGATGCTTCCATGCTTTTTGGTTCCAACAAAGCGACAACGTCAATAGATCTTTCACGGAACATGTTTTCTTTCGATTTTGGAAAAGTGGAGTTGTCTAAGACAATGATATCCTTATATGTGAACAACAATCAGATATACGGAAACCTACCCGTGGGAATAGAAAATATTTTCTCATTGAACGTGAGCTACAATAGGTTGTGCGGTGAGATTCCGAAGGGTGGTTATATGAAGAGATTTCATGTGTCTACGTTCTTTCATAACAAGTGCTTGTGTGGGTCTCCACTTCCACCTTGCAAGTAATCATAGTTTCTTGAAGGGACTTCAATAATTTCTAGTGCATTTACATTTTCGAAAGTGTGATAGATCGATTGTGTTTTCATTTGGCTAGTTAAGGGTTTTATTGTTTCGAGTCAGGTGTGGTTTTCGAGGATCTATGGTGACACTCAGTGGGAATAATTAATCTGCAATGTACTATATTGTTTACTTAAATGAAAATTTCCGTTATCTCTACGACTAATAATTAACATCATAAATAATTATTTTTATTTTTTTCGTACAATTATACTAAAACTACACTAAAATACAAAAGAACGCTTAAAAGGGTCCTTTCCAAATGTTTGTTGTGCTGTAAATTGTATACTTACTCGAAGGAGTCATTTGGTGTATGCAATTTTGTTTTAGTTCTTTGAGAATTATGTTTTTTTTGAGAAACATGCTTCTTGGGAGCTCTGTTTTATGTTAAAAATATGTTTGGTATCATGACATGTCTTAAATATTACGGAAAAATGTTACTAAATTTTTTTTATATTATTTATAATATTAATTAAATGTATGTTTATTCAAATGTTTAAAAATTAAATTAAAATTTTAAAAAAATTAGAATGAGAATGTGTGAAAAATTATATAAAAATCAACGGCCTATATGTACTTACACATGCACGTGTGTGTAAGGGAGAGATTAAAATTATACTCATCTAATATTCAATTTTACACCATATACTATTAATAATTTAATAAGAAATAATTTTTATCGATTCAACTGGGTTAAATTATAATTAATTAAATTATTTTTACTAAATTTTGTCAAAATTAAACATTTATAATATTGTTACCAAAGAATCTTTATTTTTAAATCTTTTAAAATATATATTACATAAATGTTAATGTATACAAATAAGATATCTTTAAAAGTTATTAACAGAATAAGTGTATATATAATTTAAACCTGTAATTTGATCTATATATATATATATTAGGTTAGGTTAGGATCTATTAATACTAGGTACAAGTCTTTTTAAACTTATACTAAATCTCAATCATACAAATTAATAATTTAATAGTTAAAAATTTATCTATTGTTTAACCAAAGTAATAAAATATAAATGTATAAAAAAAGTAATTTTTTAACCGTTAGATTATTAATTTGTATAATTAAATTTAATATATATGTGTGTGAGAAAGATAACATTGAGTATCAAACTTTAACATTTTTACTGCTTAATAACTTTATAAAATGAGATATTGATTAATCTGTTAAATTATTTTATATTATTTTTATTATCATGTATATTAAATTTTACATAATTTAAATATATATAAATCCATATTACATACACACATAATTGTAAATTGTATTTAGTAGTAAATGGCATAATCACCTAAATTGATTATTACGAATGATAAGAGTTGTAAATTTTAATTATAATAACTTTAAATAATTTTCTTATTATTATAACAGTGACTTGGCAATAAATATTTTAAACAGACGATAATAAAATTGAGAGAAAAAATAAACTAGTTTAGATTTAAGAATTTGGAAAGATATAATTATATTTTTATATTATAAAAATCTTTTAAACTTTATAAAAATATTACAATTTCACCCCCTCCCCTGAGAATATTGTCTTGAGAAACTTAATTTAACATTTCAGACTTTGGATTCTTCGTAAGCTTGTTTCCCTACCAAATACCCACTATAGGGAAGTGCAATTATTATTAATAAATCCTCACAAAAAATTAGTCTCAAATCCTGTATTTTATTTTATATAGAAGATAATGAAGCAAAAATGTAAAATCAAATGCAGGTTCTTTATATCAGCCTAAAACTATTTTAACAACCCATAAAATTTATATTTAAATAAATTATTTCAAAATAATTAAAATGCAGTTGTAAAAAATATTTTGGATTGATATAACAATTATTATTATTATTTATATTTTCCCCTTCCATTTTTAAATGTATTTTATATATAAATAAAGTCATACATTCTTAGTTGACTATCCAATAACTAAAATGAATACCTAAAAGCTGTATTCTAATGTGGGAAAAGAAATTAAACTTACAACAATAAATATACTTTTGTTTCAAAATTAAAGAATTATTCCTATTGTTTAATTAAGCATTTACAACTACCTTTATTTAGTAAAAAATTAATAATTTTTTCGGGCAAGTGCATGATATGAGTATTTTTAACTTTCTTTTGTTAAATTAAGAGTATTTTATATGACTAATTTTAGATATAATTAATTTATAAAGTAAAATAAATAATTTTTTATTATGAATAATAACTATTGTATTATATTAATTAACTAAATCAAATAAATAAAAATTAATTTTTTATAATATTTAAATTCACTTTTTGAAGAAGAATAAGAGTCTGTTCGAAATTTCATTTACATTTATCGAAATAAATTATATGAGAAGCTGAAAAATGTTAAAAACAGAGTTTGAAGTGTCTATTATTAAATCTACATGCATGTCACGACGCTCTTTTAAGTGGATTTGTCTAAAATGTTTTTTTTTTCATAATTGTATTAATTATAAAAATATATTTTATATAAAAAATTAAATTATGACAAGTGAATTGGTCATAGCACGACCACGCAGGAAAGGACTCGATGCCATGGATAGGCAAAGTTTGAAATTTAATAATATTTTAATTAGCCTTTGACTGACAATTTGAAAGAATGTAAGATTTCTTGTACAGTTGTACTCTTCTCCATTGTTATCGTGTTCAATCGGCGAGAACTAGACGTCCCGTCCTTCGTTCGCTTAAACAAAAGCATTTTTTTTTTTTAATTTTGACTTAAGTAATCATTTTGGATTTTAGCATCTTATGTGAAAATAGAGCAGCTGGTAAGGAGCCAATAAATTTGGCTTTGTAGAACCTGAAATGTAATAACACATAAATTGAAGAAAATAGATAATTCATATTTCTCGAAATGAGTATCATGTTATTATAGTCTTTTACATGTATAGAAGTGAAAATAGAATAAAAATAGAAATGTCAAATTTTATGACTCATGCATGAGAATTCAAAATAACTGTCTCTAAAGAATTGGGTTTATTATGAACGTAAAAAAAAAAAAAAAAAACAACTGTTTTGACTAACATTCCATCTCTTAAGCTAATGAATCTGCATTGAGCTTAAACTTCAACTGCATTAATTACTCCAAGCATCCCACGGAGTTTCACAAATTGTTTCAATTTGAGCAACTTTGTCATTATGTCTGTAATATGCTCTTCAAAGCTATAAAAACTTAGCTTCACACTTCCATCATTTACCAAATCCCTGAGAAAATGAAATCTCACTCCAGTGTGTTTGTTGCATCCATGGAAAACAAAGTTTTTGGACAACTGAATTATAGAGTTGTTGTCACAATGAATTTTTATACTTTCTTTTTCGGCAGCTCCAAGTTACTCTAATATTCTCCTAAGCCAAATACGTTGACAAGCACAAAGTGCAGCAGCAATGTATTCAGCTTTTGTGGTTGATAGGCTCACTACTGGCTGTTTTTTCAAAACCCATGAAATTGGTCCAGATCCCATAATGAAAGCACAACCTGAAGTGCTTTTCTGATCATCCAAATCTCCAGCATAGTGATAAGTCTGTAATTAGGGCTTTTTTTACAGCCCATATATTCATATTTGATCTTTATTTTATTTGGGTTTTACACTAATTTATTTATTAATTATGCAGTTTGGTATAAAGATGCCGCAAGTATACTTTGGGTGTATTTTTGGCCCAAATTGATAGAAAATTAGAGTTCTGCAGTAGTCAGCATGCCCAGACCTTTTTAACAAGCACGGGGGTGCTTCGAGCCCATGCACGGTCGTGCTTAAGACCTTGCACGGCCGTGCTCATCTGCAAGGAAGCCCAATTATCAAGACTCTTTAGGGTGTTCAAACCCTATTAAAAGGAGATCTTAGGCATCGTAAAAAGGACCGTTTTTATCTTGGCTTTAGCTCTAGAATACATCGGATCTCGTCTCTCTTACACAGGATCCTTGGCACATACTTGGCAAGACTTGGAGCTTCAAGCGATCGTACTTGAAGACCGGGAACACATCTCATACTCTAGTTTGCTATTTCTTTTGATTATGGCTTTGTTTATGATTGTTTTAGTTCTTTTTTTTAGCATGAGTAACTAAGTCCATATCTATGGCTATAGGAACTATTGTTCATGAATTTATGGAATTTTGATGTTTGAATCTAAATTTGATTTATGTTTTGTGATTAGATTTTATCCTATTGCGCTTCTTTCTTAATCCTAATTAATTATATTATTAGACGACCGTACTTTAGTTAATTAATAGATTTATAGGGTAAAACAAGACAAAGGATTAGGTGGACCAAACCAATCTTTCTTTTCTAATCGTTATTAAATTAACAAGTTCATAGGTTTCTTAAGCTTTCTTAAATTGATGTCTTGCATGACCATTGGGAATGTTAATTTAGAGAAAAGAATATTAATATTGGTTACCATTGGGTATTAATAGTATTCATATAAATGATTGGTAATCACAAGGAAATTGAATTTAGAGTTAAACAGAAGAATAACATAAAGGATTAAATGAGAAAATCCATATGTCCTAGGTTCCTCTTTGATAAGTTTAACCAAGACGTGCATTATATTCTTTGCTCTTAGTTTTATAATTAATTTTATAAATTCTTGTTTTTAATTAATCTTGTACATTTGAAGCTTAAACAATTGAATTAGAAAAGTCTTAGCAATTAAAAAACAATTCTTGTGGGACGATATTTCGAGAACTTAATTTAAGAACCCTTTATTACTTCTCGATGGGTACACTTGCCCTCCAGAACACATAATTGCTATCTGTATAAGATACAAGACCTGCACTTCTACTGCCTCTTTTGTATAGTATGCCAAATTCAGTGGTTCCTTTTATATACCTTAAAATCCTTTTTGCTACAAGCCAATGAGATGACTTTGGATTGGCCATGAATCTACTGATCAAGTTTACTCCATATGTCAGATCTGGTCGAGTGGCTGTGAGAT